TATATATGTATACTTCATACGTATATATAGTACGTATATATAGGATGTTCAATAAAATAGAAAATTTAACAGTGATTATAGAGATTGAAATAAGTATGAAAGTTATTTTTTAAATTATGAATAATCTAATTTTGAGATGAATTTTAGATAAGTGAAATATAAATGTAATGGAACTGTCTCACTTTGAAATGCAAGATCGGTGACCTAAAAATTTTACTAATCCGAAGGATCTTGTTTCACCTATATAAAAAATAATGAGAGCAGATCGACAAAGATCGGTTACAGATCGTATATAAAATCAAAGAATAAGCATTGTCGAGGAATTTTACTACTTTCACCCGATTTTCTCCGCTATTCTTCTTCAAAATTCAAAGACAAACTGGTAACACGAATAACCATGCGTAACATTATTTCAAGAAGGAATTTTAAAATCACTTGAAATTGTAATGATCTAAATACACTTAAGCATAGTATTGGAGGTTGTTAAAATACAGCTGATCGCTAAAGCAGTTCGTGGAAGACTGATTAGATGAAATTATGTAAATTGCTATGAAACATTGGTAAGTTACAGTTCAAGGTAGAATTTAATATTAAGTGATTAGAATTTACATTCACATAAAGCATATAAATAAAAGATTTAAAAGAGATGAATGAAAATGATTTCTTTTATGCTTTATGATTATATTTTTTATGTTTAATTTTTCTGAAGAAATTTTCAGAAACTATTCATATTTATTATAATGAAAAATCGACTAGTGTAACGATTTTTATCAACTATTTTTTTACATAATCTAAATCTAATTTAAATCAAATTTAGAAATGATTAGATGAATAAAAAATATCTGAGAAAGTAGAATAATTTAATACATACGTCGAATAATTGTATTTAAAAATAGTAATAAAATTAAATTATAATTAATTAAATATTTTTAAAAAAATATTTGCACATTGTTAATACTTTTTTACACTGTATATATACTATTACATGGAGAAAGTAACGATTTTTCGTTAAATTCTGTTATCATTACGAAGTAGCGAAATATTATTTAACTCACAAGTAGCATATTAAATAAGAAATTAATATTGAATTGATGATAAATCATTCTTAATTGGCTCGTGATTCACAGTGCATTCAAACATTAACCTCAATTTTATATTTTCGTTTTATTGTGTAAATTATTATTTAAATATCATCAATTTGTTATCATCAACATGATTTTGAAATTGCAATCTTATATATTTATATAATGTACAAGGAAAATTTATACAATTAATAAGTTTTAATAATATAATACAGAAAATATATTTTTTTAGGATAAAAAGCAATATTAATTTTTTTATAATTTTAATTTTTTATAAGTCTATATACTTTATAAACTTTTCTCAATGTTGATTTGACATCAATCTTTTTTTTCAATTTCTTTTTATCAAGAAATTCAAACAAATATTATGTTATTTGTTACTTGTTTAAAATGATTAAATTTTTGCGAATAAATGGTTAATCTAATCATTCCATCGTTACGCTTCACGACGGCTCTCTTTCCTCTCAATTTTATTTACATAGGAATTAGAGGCTTATCTTTCCAATGGTAGCATAAGATGGCCGGATAAGAAGCTGGCAAGAGAAAGGAAACGGAGGTTCTAAGGTGAAAGTTGGATAAATTCCATCGTTGCTCTTGTATTCTATTATTTTAATCTTTTTTAGCCGGAAGATTCATCGGCTAGTGAGTTAGTGGGAACTTCTGATGAAACTAAATATAGGATTTCAATTGTGACACGCACCGGAAGTTGAAGAATCTTGCGCTCGAAAGCGCGTTAAATTTTGAGAAAATTGAAATAATTGCTTCGTGTAAAGGCGATAAATTAATCTTGAGAATCTGAGAATAATTTGTTAGTTTGGACATGTACTTTATAACTTAATTTCCCTATCTTTTGTGTCGAAATCAAAAATTAAATATAAGATTGATTTATCTAAAAATTAAGAGGTTAATTTCACTTTGACACGATAACTTTGATAAGACGAAGAGATTTTTCCGAACCTGAAGAACATACACGACGAGAAACGTGAAGTGTTCTGCTCGCATATATGCTGCACGTGACTAAAATACACTTCCTTGCTTGGCTGAGTCAAAAATAAAAATACAACTTGACGATCGATTTCGATGTTCTGGAATCGTTCGAGACAAAAATTTCACTTTCGTAAATATTGTTGCCTAAGAATTAAAAATTCAAATTTTCTTTTCTAAAAGTTAAAAAATGTAAAAATAATTTAACAAAAAAAAATTATTACATAATAATTATTAAATTACGAATTATCATTATTGATAAATTACTTCATATATTTATTTAATACATATATGATAAAATCACGAATGATTTTTTATTTAAAATTTCATATGTATAATTAATATAAAATAATAAATAAATATATATATATATTTATTTTTATAAATAAAAATTAAAACAAAATTAAATTAAAATCTTTTCATTCGGAAATAAATTTATTCATTAAATATATAAAAATATATATAAATATTGTTTAAATCACATTTCACATATCGAAAATATTCTGATTTTCATAAAATAAATTCAATTTTCAGAACAAAATTTTCTATTATAAATGCTTTCCAAAGAATTTGACCGCTCGTAATGATCACAATACGAATTCAAATCGGAGTTAAAGACTTTATGCTTTCGAATGATCGCTTCAAGTATACTCCTACTATTTTAAACGCGACGCTAGCACGACAGAATTAAATCTCTCGAGTGCTCTTCTTTGCCCTATTTCGGTCCAATTGTAAGAATAAAGCGACAAAGCGAATGAACGTGCCACGTATTGTGACGAAATAGTATATATCGTCGTGAGGAGTCAATCAAGAATCTACACGATATACCGTAGAATCGAGTTTAAATTACTTAAACAGACCGGCTACGAAACTTTGTTCTTAATGAGAAATTTCTATTTGAACATCGAATCTGTAATACGAAATAGAACAGCCAACTAAACGAAAAACAATTCTGTGTGCAAAAATAAATCGGAAAAAAGTTGTTTTGAAAAAAATCAAGATGAATCGAATTGGATTATTTTTTAAAGTGGATAATATGAATAAATTAATCTAAAAAGTTATTCTATACGCGAGATTTTTGAATTTAATTTCCTCGAAAAATGTTGAAATAAACGAATTTTATTCGAATTCGATATTATCTTTTATATTATTTAATATGCATTATTAGATAATTAAAGAAATAACGATGGTCAAACGATAATGCAACAGAAAATAAACATTTAAATACAGCATTTAAATACATTCTTAGCATCAATTGCTTAATTGTACGTTCTCTTCAAATTGTAATACAATTAAAATTCTTTGTATGGAAGGATAGCCCGCGAGATAAGATAGAAAAACAACAGAGAAATTATCATGTAATTTCCATTGTGTCCTTTCGTGGAAAGCTTGCACTGTATAGAAATATGTCTGTCAATTTGTTGAACGATTTATCAGGAGTTATCGAATTATGCATTGAATGCCGCGGCGAATAATCATATTAAAAAAACGTCTTTATGAATCATTCCTTGCATAATCTAATTTAACGTTTAATCTTCATTTTAATTATTGAAATTCAACGTCACATATTTTATAAACATTAATATTATCATCGTGTCATTTGTTTTCTTTATAGATTTGACGTCATCCTTATCTTATTGTCTAAGTATTTCATATCATTCATCCATCATAATATATTCATATCTTCTGAATCAAAGAGAAACTGAAAACTGTACGCATTATTATAGCCATCGAAAAATGTTTTAAGTTAATTTGAAAATTTAGCACACATGAGGTGTTAGCAAAGGCGTTGAAAAAACGAAAAAAACATTAAATCGTAAACTCAAATACTACCATCTTTAATTTATTTTTATCCTCTTCTAAAATTTCTTCCCATCTTCAATTGTTTCAAAGTAATATACAAAGTGTCCCACTTTATCTTCTTTTCGTTCAAGCTATGCCAATATATCTTAATAATAATAAAGATTAAGAATTGTTGCATAACAAAGTTTATAGATAATTTATTAAAAATTTTTAATATTTCTCGTATCACTCGTCAACGCAAACATAACTCGTCTATTTCTTATTATTTCAATTTCAAATAAAATTTATTCAAATGTTATTTATATATAATATTATTAGTTAATAAATTATTACGCAAGTGATGATCTTGACATCATTGTTTATAACAGAAAAGTTAAATAATATTCAACAATTGCACTTTTTCGTCATAGAATATTCTATATATACTTCACGATTATAATGTATCGATTCACAATTAAAAGGAAATCAGTGATGCGAAAAAGATCTGACCAAATCGATCCTCCGCGCAATCGTTTTGAAAAATGTAACGATAAGCGTGACCTATTACTGAATAAAAGTATTAAGAGAATTGTGCTTAAAGATCCTTTGCAAAATGCAAAACGTTCTTCAGAGCGCAATTCGAACGTTAAAAGTACCGTGACTTATGGATGGACAGAAATGAATGGCTTAGAATGGTTCAAAAAATTTTCAAGTGGAACATTGTCTATGCGATGCGTTTAACGAATCGAATTAGAAGCGAAGGATGGGGATTAAAGAAATCGTGATAAGAAAGGCGACCCGCATTTTTTTCACGGAATTATGTGTAATTATTTTTCTTTGTGTTGGTTCAAGTGCAATTTTTCAATGTCACGAAATAGAAGATGAAACGGTAATTTTAAAGTAAATTTATTTTAAAACAGTTTAAAAGATTCAATTGAAAAGAAAAAAAGAAAAAAAGAAAATGGAAATAACATTGAAAAAAATCCATTAAAAATATTATTATGTCAATTTTCAAAAGAACGATATTCAAAATTTTAATGATAATTATGAAATAACAGACTTGAACAACACAATATCAAGCTATTAATAAAGTATTGATCTCGACATAAAACGGTAAAGTTACATGAAATAAAGTTACAATAATAAAATAAAAAGCACTTCAACAAACATACTCATATCATGAAAATTTAGTATCAACGAAAATTATAAAATCCAAATAAAAGAATTAATAATTGCATCAGTAATTTTAAATTTAATATCGAAAGAAACCTCACAAAAACTCACTGTCAACCAAAAAAATAAAATAAAATTTAAATTCAGAAAAACCCTTAATTAGATCTAAAATAAGCCAATCTATTCGGCTTAATAAATTGGCTTTGACATCAATACTAGAAAAAAATGAATTCAATTCGATGCGAATGAATTTCGCACTTCGATCCTTTGATAAATTTTATTAGATTTTCATCAATGAAAACGTGATCGATGACAAGCAAAACAAGAAGAGAAAAATAAAAAGTTTGAAACGTAGGGAATCACCTTTCGCACAGGACATCGATACACGTTGCAGGACAGGTCACAGTATCGCGGCGCAGCCGGCTCCCTAGTGGAGGACACTCGATATCCATCCTCATCCTCGTCCACGTTGATCCTTCGTTCCTTCTCCAACGCATCCACAAGGCCTCTGTTGTTCTCCATGATCAATCTTAAACGATTCTTCTCCGTCTTCACGGTCTTTGGGTTATGTGGCATTGCACGGGGAAGAGGGATCATCGAGCTACCGCGTGTTCTTACTTCAAGCTCGCTCGTTTTTGACGGAGAACCCTCTCTCATTCCTGACGTCGTTTGTCTCAAGCCTCTCTCCCTCTTTTCACCCGGCATAATTTTCTTTCTCCGAATACTATACTATACTTTCTTTCTTTCTTTCTTTCTTTCTTTCTTTTATACTATTTTATCGTTTTTTTTTTATTTTCTATTCTTCAATTTGATATTATTTTATTATATTATCTCTGTATCGTTTTACGTTGTATACATTTATTATTTATTCTGTCTTCTATCGTCTTATATCTTCTAATTGTATATTTTTCAAATATTTATTCCGTGTCCCTTTTTTGATTTTATTTTTATTATTGTATCGTATCCATGGGATCAAGTTTGACGGGTCAAACTTTGACCCGAGCCGAGAGGTGTGAAGAAAAAAAAAATCAAGTGATTAAACCGCGAGGATCGGCGAACGACGCGTCGCGACGTCTTGTGTGTCCTGGCTGATCCGACGTCGACGCACACCATGAGAAAAGCTTCTCTTCTCCGGGTCTCGACCCTTCTTCATCCACCGAGGGACAGCTTCATCGTGCTCCATCGGGCGCCGAGTGCGTCGGCACGCATGCGCCGAAGCAAAGATTTTCAAAATGTCCCTCTGGCATTTCAACACCCCATCCCGGCTGCGCGACGAAAAGCCCTCTCGATGTATGTATCTATGTATTCTTTATCGCGCCACGATTAATTATTTTTTACGTACCATTCGTTTATACTTGTTGCTTTCTTTCTCGTTTCGTTGCGTCGAAACGATGACGAGACCGTAGCTCTACGAGGCTTAATTGGTACGCTGACCTTTCGAGAATTTGCGGAATGTGTCGAGGGAGGAACTATTTTTTTTTTTCCTTCGCGGTTTAATATAGCAAACGATCGAATGATACAATGATTTGTGGAAAGGGTTGGTTATCGATATTGTTGATCAACCAAATCTGCATTGAAATCTTGAAATTAGTGTCAGGGAATGTATATATAGATAGATACGTATACCCGTAATATATAAGTCTTCTTTATATAATCAGACTGCGAGGAACTTCTGTCTTCTTCTCTCTCTTCTTTTTTTTGTTATATAGATTTGTTATATAGATGAATATAATATTACGATCAATTTATTTTGTTACATTTAATATTTATCATATATATGATATTATAAATTTGTAATAATCTTTAATATTTTAAAATTTATAGAGCTTGCGATGCTTATCTTATCGAAGGAACAATCTTTTAATCTTTTTAGATTTTATATATTTTAAGTATTATATCTATTTCACAATTCTTAGTTATCGTAAGTATATAACTGAAGTTGATTTAGAAAGAATTTCTCTTTTCAGAGAGATTCTTTGAAAATATCGATTCCTTTCACGGTTTATTTTCCTTGTGACACGGTCGATGGTTTGGAATTACAGGTTCCATTTATAGTTGCACGTTGCCACTCGTTTGCGGCCCACGTTTTGCCATTTGTTTCGCAAATCAACCGGACGCGCCTTTTGCGGTGAGAGATAAAGAAGAAAAATCTGCTTTCTTCCTTCTTCTTCGACCTGAATTCGATTTCTTCCGAAGAAAATTTCGAATTGATACTAACGTCTTATTTAATCTTATGTTTGATTCGATATTACCTTATACGGTTTTTAATAAATTTAATAAATTTAATAAATTTATCCAAAAATAGAAGAAATATAAGATTCATCGGATAAATCTCTCACATTTATTTTCCTTGAGCTTTCGTTATCATAAAAGAATCTTCATTCCGTAAAAATTAATAATTCTTTTCTTAAATTTTTTTTAAAATTTATCTTAACCTCAAAATTTCAA